TAAAAGGTACAAAAAAGTACCCCTTTTCTTGTAGTAATTCAAACAGGCTCTACAATAAATAAAATCAAAATTTAAAAAGTTTGTCACTTATAGTAAATGTGTCAAAAAATAGATTTTTTTATTTAAATAGTCAAACAGCCTGCTTATAGGCATTTGTATGATAACTAATGACATTGCAGTAAGAAGTATAGCTTACAGATAAGGAAAACAGATGTAAAAAAGTATATCTGCATTTGAGAATTGTACTCACATACATTAAATATAATTAAATCATACATTCATTAAAATAAAAGTGTTTAAATGTGTTATTGCAAAATCTGTAATGGTAATGCAATACTAAGAGGCATATGAGAAATGCCTTCTACCATCCATGACTGTAAGAATGGTAAGATATTTGAAGTTTCCTTTAATGACATTTGCAATCATTAAATTGATGGAATGGACTCCTGGCAGATAATTAATTTCTATGCAAGCTGGTACTGATTCATGGGAATTAATGTAACACTTTGTTGACCAAATTTAATTTTTAAAAGGAAAGTAAAAAAAAAAAAAACATGTGTACACAATTTTAGTTGTGAAGGGGTATAGCATGAATTTGCAGTATTGTCCTACTAGACACCTGTGGATATTTCCACTTCATATTTACTCACTTATTGCTACGATGTTCTCCGGAATTAATGTAATTGCCAAATTGGTACCAATAATCATATCAGAATAACAATAATACATTTCAGTGATTCTGAAAATGCTGGGGAAAGCCTACCAATGTCAGAGATACCTGTACAGGAGATACCTGCTCCTACTTAGAACTGAAAAGCTCCATTCATGTTTTCCACAAATAAAGGAATTTCAATGAAACTCAGGTTTGCTTATTCCGTACATTCTACACGGGATTGCATAACAATTATAGTATATGCTCACTTCGTTCTTGAGTTTGAATCATATCAGCTGCAGTAATTTTTGTAAATTGTTGCAGGTATAATGAAGATTAGAATGATGGTAGGTAGGTACAGGAAAGCATTAACATCTGCACTAGGTGTAGTTTTTATCTTGTGTCTTTCTTTTATCTATTGAGAATCATCAAATTATTTATTATCATTATTTTATAATGCTCTGTTATATTCTTCAGGTGTTTTTTCACTTGTGAGATATTTTTACATTGTATTGTATTTGATTGTTCATAAGGAGATATTCCCACACAAGCGTTGTTTGAGCTGCTGTTTGTTAGTGCTCTTGTTAAATGGCTTTAAATCACACTTCCTCTTTGAAAATGTTTTTGGGGAAAAGGAAAACTGTTTTTATCTGGCATCTTCAAAAGGTGTTGATTCTAAGCGTTACTTTTCTAAAAGGAGACACAAAAAGCAACATAAAAATCTAAGGTGCAACAACAAAGTATTATATAACCATAAAGGATTACTCCAAGCACCGTAACTATGACAGCTTGGAGTGCTTCTTTAAGTGCAAGTTTAGTTTCTTATACAATGGTCAAACAGCCTGATTATAGGAACCCTGAAGGCACCATTAGTACAGCTTACTGATAACGGCAACAGGATGTAAAGAGAATGTCTTTTTTCATAATGACCACATACGCTAAATACAGTTGTATTATATGTTTTCTGAGCTATAAGTGTTTAAAGAGTTTCATAACAATCTCTCTAATGCTAATGTAATACTAAGAAGCTTATGAGAGATGCCATTCACTCCTACCTCCATCCATTACTGTAACAATGGTAAGGAGTTTGAAGTTTCCTTTAATTACATTTGCAAACATTGAATTGGTGGAATGGACTTCTGAAAGGAAATGTATTCATATACAAGCTAGTCATGATTTCTGTAGCATAAATGTGACACTTAACTAAATTTGATTTGCAAAGGAAATAAAAAAAACATTGTATACATGATTTTGGTTGTTTGAAGGGGTTTAGCATCAATTTCCAAACTCACATTTTGTACTCTTCTCCTTCTAGATGCATGTGAAAAATACCACTCCACATTTACTAACTTATTGCTAAGACATTCTCCTGAATTAATATAATGACACAATTGGTAGATATTAAGGATGCATACCTAGTTTTAGAGGCACAATGGTTTAAAAATAATATCAGGAAGTATTACTTTACTGAGAGGGTAGTAAATGCATGGAAAAGCATTCCAGCTGAAGTGGTAGAGGTTAACACAGTGAAGGAGTTTAAGCATGCGTGGGATAGGCATAAGGCTATCCTAACTATAAGATAAGGCCAGGGACTAATGAGAGTATTCAGAAAATTGGGCAGACTAGATGGGCCGAATGGTTCTTACCTACCGTCACATTCTATGTTTCTCCCTTGTTATACATTATGGGCTTTTCTTAACAGTTATGTTTTTTAACATTCTGCATGCAGAAAGAATATAACTTATGGATGAACCATAAACCCACCCAAAACACTATTATAAGGCTATTATAATCAGAGTACTGACAGACTGACCCTCCATGTATGGCATAAAGTGAATAAATAGGCTAGATAAACAGTTAGTATGGAAACACCGGGTTAAGAACCTGTATTACAGGTTCCGATGGGTGACCTTGATGAACAATGAAAACCTCCATGGAGGTAATTAACCTGTAAACAGACAGAACTAACAAATTACTATTATTATGTATACATATATTTCAATGCATAATCCGCCCAAGAATGTTCCTTAAATCACTCTCCACTTGGAGTACAATTCATATAAACTGATCAGCCACAACATAAAAACCACCTGTCTGATATAATGATATCATGTAGTATCCTTTGTGCTCCCAAAACAGTTCTGATGCATCAAGGAATGGACTCCACCAGACGTTCGAATGTGTCCAGTGGAATCTGTCTCCTAGACATTAATAGCAGATTATTTAAGTCCTACATATTACAGGGTGGGGCCTCCATGAATCATATTTTTTGTTCCAGCATATTCCACAAATGCTCAATCGGGTTTAGATCTGGAAAATTTAAAGGCCAAGGCAACACCTTGAACTAATCTTCCTCAAACCATTCCTGAACAATTTTTGCATTATTGGAGGGTGCATTTTCCTGCTAAAAGGGATCACCATTGCAACAGAGGGGTGTACGTGATCTACAACAATCTCTAGGTAGGTGGTACATGCAAAAGTAGCATCCACATGAATGCCAGGACCAATGGCTCTCTGCAGAAGATTCCCTAGAGCTTAAACCTTACTCCATCGGTCTGTCTTCTTCCCATAAGGCATCCTGTTGCCATCTCTTCCACATACACCTGACCTTTCACCTGATCTAAAAGAAAACAAGATTCATTAGACCAGGCAACCTACTTCATTGCTCCATGGTCTAGTTCTGATGCCCTATTGAAGGCACTTTCGGCAGTGGACAGGGGACATCATGGGCCCATTGACAGGTCTGCTGCTATGGAGCTCCATTCACAGCATACTGCATTACACTGTGTTTTCTGACACTTTTCTATCATGTCCAGAATTAAGTTTTTCAGCAATTTAAGCTACAGTAGCTCTTCTGTGGGATCGGACCAGATGGGCTATCCTTTGCTCCCCATGTGTATCAATGATCCTTGTGCGTCCATGACCCTGATGCCGGTTTACTAGCTGTCATTCCTTGAACCACTTTTGGCAGGTATTAACCACTGCATACTGGAAATACCCCATAAGACTTGCATTTTTTTTGGGGGGGGGGGCTTTTGAATATTGTAGTTATTTTATTTTTTAAGTGTTGCATAATCACAAACTAAACATGTATTCTATATTGCATTTTATTTTTTTAAATCTCTCTACATAGCAAAATGTAACTTCTCACGTGGACAAATTGCTCTTACAACGCAAGACAATATGGAATCAGTAGTCAAAATCTGCTTCATATTCAAGGCCGTTGTCAGGTAGTCTTTTGGTACAATACCAATGGCGCCATCCAGTTCTCCGACCCACCAGACGTAAGCATTATATTCCTCTGCTGCATAGCTCATTCCTGGTAAGTGCTTTGATAGGTGGAGGTTCTATCCAATGTACCTCTATTCTTGGGATAACAGAGCAATTCGCGTTTATTCCTGCTTATATACAAGTTTCCCAGCAAGGGTACCACCCACGTGGACCTTGTGGGGCACTGAAACTGTACACTTTGCAACCAATCATGTACAGGCATATAGATAATCACACCCACTTATTACAGTAAGAATCCTCCCCTCTGCTTCGGAGACAATTGAGTTAATTATGAGCCGATATCTCCAAGCTAAAACACATTTTTATACAATTTTTATAACTTTGCGAGTTTACATACAATATGAATACAACTTATATTTTTATAACCAGCATAACGTGGGGATAAACATATCCAAAATTCACTTGAATCGGTTAAGTGGTTTAGGAGATAGATGGAAGTCCTGTTTTGACCATAGAAATATAATGAAGTCCCGTTCGAATGCACGAACGGGCGCCGTTTGTGCAAATAGTCCAGAGAAGGTGAGGGTCAGCAGTGTTCGTGAGATTTTGTAGCCGATTTCAGTTCCATAGATTTGGCTGCACACACTGGTGACCGCGTTCGGCTGAATAAAGATGGCCGCCGCCACGTGTTCGTTTGTAAGTTGGCAATTTACTTACAGCAACCTCCCCGCTTCCACTTCTGGGTGGTCTGTCTGTGCAGTAAATTGCTCGGTAAGCCCCAATTAATGAACCATAAGGGAGAAAGCCATGTAAAAGTTTTTTCCACAGTCTGGGGACTCTGGGGACCCAGATTTCACTATGTCCCAAAAATGTACTTAAAGGGCCAGCACCAGTCCAATGAAAGTCCATAAGCCCCAATAAAGTTTTTACATCCCCGGGCCATAGTCGCAGGGCAGGAGGCTGGCAAGCAAGCCTTTCCAGGCCCAATTGGCGAAGGGCACTTCGTCACAGTCTCTGTTTCTTTTCTTCAGATAACCTTGCTTAAAACTCTGCCCAACCTCTCTGTATCTCCAGAATCACCATGTAATTCGTAATTCATAGAAATGTCATCTGAAGCCACTGAAATTCCATAGCTGGGGTTTTCGTCATAGCTTTCTTGGGTCACATCGCCGGTAGCTGTGTCACCTGCTGTCTGCTGAACATCTAAATCGTATCTTTTTCTGACCAGCATTAAGCCCCTTTACGATTTGTTCTTTGATTTCTTGACCTTTGTTGCCTATCGGCTCATACTGCAAAAAGTTAGTCAAAAACAATTCTGCATCTCTTAGGAGCAGGATCACATCTGGAGGGAGGTCATGGTTCTCCATATTGCAGCACTGACAGGCTGACGGTGTACCCGTTACTTAGCGCTATGCTCCCCGGGGAGGGGTGAGAGATTTGCAATTTTGTAGAAGCTCTAACAGCCATCTTTCTTTGGCTCTTGTTAAAGTTACTCAGATCTTTTCACTTGCCCATTTTTTCTGCTTTAAAAACATGAAATTCAAGAACTGACTATTCACTTGCTGCCTAATATATCCCCACTCTTGTCAGGTGCCACTGTAACAATATAATCAATGTTATTCACTTCATCTATCATTGCTTTTAATGTTGTGGCTGATCAATGTATATCAGTCAAATAATGCCCAAGATATCAAATAATTATCCTTCTCTCACACACAGTGAATACTTTACCAGGGTTACATAGTATAAAATCAGGTATAAGATTCTTTAAGACTCAAAAAACATACATATAGGGAGTATGCATAGCACAGATCAAGCATATCATAAGTAAAAAAATAAAATAAAAGAAATTCGACAACCTTGTATCATAACTCATATTTGTGGGGTAACTGAGCACCAGCTATCTGACTCAGGGGTCATAAACTGTTTTTAATTTTATATAAAGTTATATTACACTGATGTTATTTTACATAAACTAATTTTACATAATCTGAATTGTCTAGATGAATAGTTCAGATTATTAAGATATGCAGGTTTATTATAGATGTGACGGACCCTCTGGTCACCTAAATCGGGTACATGTCTCCCCAACCTCTATCTCTCTCTCAGAAGACTATTATTACTATGTACTAACCTTCAGCCTGTGTCTCTTAGCTCCCCTTTTCAGTGGTCAGCAAAATCACATTTCACCAGTCAGGAGGCCATGAGGCAAGGTACGCCTTACCAGGAACAACCCTGAACTCTCCTGGAACGCTAAAGCGGATCACATAGTCACCGCGGTCCGCTAAAACTTCAACCAGAGCACTCTCGGTCTCAGGACCAGCAATCAGAGTGCTTTTTGAGGATTAATAAAAGCGATGACAAAGCATTGGATGACACCAAAGACTAGGGGGAGCTCCATTTCCCCACATAAAACATTGTGTTTTTAGGTGACCAGGAACTATATCCAGCACTCTGGAACTCTATGCCAGATTAGTATAGTGGTATACTGCCACAATACACAATAGCAATACTACATAATCCAGCAACCAATAATTTGTATGTTCAAGTGTCACCAAATCCTGGGAGGAATTTTAATTTATCCAGTCACAAAGTTTTGGTAATGAGGGGAGTCTGTCTTTTTTCTTTGAAAGAGTATCTGCCAATATGATGCAGTGATGTGCTGAAATACATGGAAATTATCACAACTTTATTACAACACTTATGCAGGTCTACTCAACAGTCACATTACCAAGGCCTCAGAATAGGACATTCAGGAACAAAAGTAGAGACATTCTTGCCTATTCCTTAGAATTTGCAGGAGCAAGTTTGAATTTGGAACACTAATATATAAAGTTGAAAGGGTATAATTTTCACTTGGCAAACAAGAAGCACAATGCCTTAAAACAGTAGCAGACATAGTATATTGTGTTATAGTTTTACTTATGTTATTAGTATGAAATATGTTTCCCCCAATGTTAGCTAAATGCGAAATCCTAAAAATGATGTATCGAGTTAGCAGCTTTTTATATATGCCATGTAATCATGATTAATAAAGTAGTCTGCTTCAATCTGAGGTTGGGTTGCTGCAAGATAAATAATGCCTGTCAAATAAAATAATTGTATATCTATATACACCCACACCAGCCATAAACAACAGATTAATATGAAACTTGTCAAGAAGAGGGTATATTTAGTGAGCAATAACATATTGCTAATGTTAATTGTTGAACTTACCTGCCACCATAGTTATTTATAATATACAGTATGGACAGCTAGCGTGTGATTTTAGGGAATTATTATTATTAGCGGGAAAAAAGTGGATTATTTAATAACACACTCTGGCTATGATACAATATATATCACCATACACGAAAAGTAAAATTCTCCACAGAAACTTTTTACTATCTAATATCTTGCTAAAACTCAGTGAAACATTTCAAAAATAGAAGTAAAAGATAAAAAGTCAGAGTCAGTAAGTGTGACCTGTCTTGTTTACTATAATGTAGACATAGTCAGACGTGGGATCTTCTGTTAAATACAGAACACTTCTTGACATTTTGACATCGTAGACAGTTGTTCCAGTTCACTTGTAGTTGTGGGAGTGGGGCAGCGTGTCTATTCATACAAGATAACACAGTGCTTAAGTATGTTATTACAGGAAACCTACACTATGCGTTGTGTAAGCGTGTGGAATGCTTTATAATCAAATACTTTGCTTCCTATCAGCTAGTCTTAGAAGAAGAACTTTCGTAAGAATTGGGTTGCCCACATAGCACATAAAGAAAGTACTAAATATTAATTGGCCAATTTCATGGCCATTAGTTTGGATGTTGGCCAAGGACACCTGATCGGTGCAGTCATTCTACAATTACTAATTATTTACCTAAGTCACAGCGGATCATAACCCAATCCACCCGTGCTGCAGCCCCTGGCGAGTGCAGCATTCTAATGTTGCAGTTTTCCCGTGGGGTTATATAACCCTGACTCCGCGCAGGTTAAAGGTCGCAAGAACATTTGTGCGTTGTCATGTCATCGGCACACACATTCTGGAATCACATGACCCATGTTAGGCAGTTGAATAAAGTTTAGAGCGATATAAGCCTCCCTTTACTGTTTTTCATTGCCCTGTCATGGTTTCTACTAGCTGGTTATCATTGAGAGCATCCGTTGAGTTTGTCTTCTGGTTATTTGATCTTTGCTTGTTCCTGACTATCCATATTTCTGGTATCCTTGATTTTTTTTGGCCTTGTCTATTTGTTTATGTTTATGTTTCTGTCTGTGTCCCGGACCTCGGCTTCTTACTGGCTATTCTTTCTACGTTAAATTTGGCCATTCTAAGTTCCATTAATACGTTTACAGTTTTCATATTTTGTATTGTTTCTGTGTTTTATTTAATTCTGCATGTTGAGCCACAGTATCGTCCTGACTGACAGCAATGTTGGGGTGACATACAAACGTGTTGAGAATAGTAATTACTAATTCTTGTTACTCTACTCATCAAGAATCACTTTAATCACTTTTATTTTGATGTTGTGTTTTAATTGCATGGTAAGGTGTCTTGTTGCATGGCTTACAAAGAAAAAACAATTACCAGGCTTTTGTACTTTAAACTGTGTAGCCATAATCTAATGAAAAGTAAGCAGTTTGAGCTTCCAGAAGGATAGTCTCTCTGTAGATGTCATGTGTCACAGGGGTAAGTTAGTTTATGTGTCAGTCATTAAATAACTTCTATGTGGAACCCTGGCACATTTTTATAGGGTGCTGGTCTGGGATGACAAGAAGAGACAGACATACCTTGCCATAGACATCAGAAAGTCCTTTTTCAGAGTTTCAAGGAGAAACACAACTCACGGTATGTGTTCACATTAAATTATGTGTATTGTCATGTTGCACTCCAACAAATCTGCATTTATAGACAACTGTAAAAACATATATACAAATTTTCTAGAGAGTATCATAAGCGCACCAAAAGAAACAAGTAGCAGACAAAAATAAATAGCAATATAAAATAAATGCACTGATCACTCAGATTTACAGCATTGAATTTCTTTGAACGGCCACACTGAAGGTGTACAACCATTGGCGGAACTACCATGGTCGCGACCATGCCCCTCAATGCGGCCCGGCACGCATGGTATAACCACCAGGGCCCCATTGAAAGGGCCCATCGGGTGTTAGGGCCACCCGGTGGCAAGGAATTTTCGGGGGGGCCCAGTTGTGCTGTAAAAGCGCTGCAGCGCTCTCCCATCATCCTGAGCCACCACTGGACCCCAGGGAAGTCACCCTCCTGCATCTAAAAGTTAGGAAACAGGAGGGTGACTAAAACATTTTGTATATGTGTCTGTATATGTGTCTGTTTGTATGTATGTGTTTGTGTATGTGTGTCTGCATGTGTCTGTATAAATGTGTGTCTGTATGAATGTTTCTCTGTATGTGTGTCTGTATGTGTGTGTGTGTGTGCCTGTGTCTGTATGTGTGTGTGTGTGTCTGTATGTGTATGTGTGTGTGTTTACATGTGTGTGTGTGTCTGTATGTGTGTGTATGTGTGTGTGTGTGTGTATATGTGTGTGTGTGTGTATGTATGCATTGTTGGTATGTATGTATGTGTGCGTGTGTCTGTATGTATGCCTGTATGTGTGTATGTGTGTGTGTCTGCATGTGTATCTGTTCATCTGCATGTGTGGGGGGGAAATGCATGGGTGGGGTAGGACAGACGTATGGGGGGGTGGTGGGGTGTAGACATATGGGGGGTGCCCAGGGCAATTTTCTCACCGGGGCCCTGTGGTTTCAAGTTATGCCTCTGTGTACAACTATTAGTGCTTTATTAAGATACATTCTGAAACAGAACATGATTGTATGTGGATCAATATCTGAAACACTGCCTCAATCATTAACCACTTCACTACCCAAATCGAGTATTAACGTTTTTATTTTCATGAATTTTACAGAATGAAATCTACTTCACAAAGCCTCACTAACCCTCGTTTATACTCTAGGAATGTTTGTCAGCCTGTAGAGGAACATATTTTAAAGCCACTAGTTAATGATATCATGTCTGTAAGTATGCTGAAGATGTAAGTTCACCCCTGCTGCCATACAGTACAGGAAGTTTCAATGAGTTATAACATTCCTACAGTCAGGGAGGGTTAGGAGTGAAAAGGCTCTACCATTTTACTGTCAGCATTATAATAGCAGTCAAGATATTGATAAAGATTGAAATAGCATGGTGCTCAAATGTGTTACATTGTGCTGTCATTTTCAGTAAGCTGCACTTCTAGTGCCTCCTGAGTCCTTACAAATACATATAAGCAAGGTATTTAACCATTATTTTTATCTGTGTTTGTCACATCTGTTGATT